TACGGTGGAAAGATATTAACATGAATTAAATTTATGGAATACTTAATTCCTATATTGCTTCTACATTTATTAAGTAAATTCACTTACCTTCAAACTTGGTGATATAATCATCCAAACCGCACTATTGAAGAAGACCTCAACGTATGACATTTTTTCGAAATTTACGTTAGAAATTTTTTAAATCTTGGAAATTCACAAAGATCGCCGAGCTGGAACGAGATATGCATATATATAGGAGTACAAGAATGAATGGAGCGCGGTGGCAGCCTCGACCAAAACCCGCCCATTTGTAATCTCGCACCGAGTTAAAATCTAATGGCAACTTTATAAGGGTTGCTCACAATGCCAGCCAGGGTAACTTTGCAGCTCTTACCATTTCTGGCACTGTCTTGCGTGTTACCTGGTAATGGGTAGAGCTTTTAATTCTGACTCGTATAAATTTTACCCCAGCCAGCGTCACCCGAATATTAACACAAATTAAAGTTGATGACATTTTTAACAGTGTGGGTATGCTTGTACATATGCACTGTTAAAAATGTATTCCATAAATTTAATTCATGTTAATATCTTTCCACCGTATAAAATTTGTTATTTTTATTAGTTTCCAGATAATCACATTAACGAAGAAGCAGTTTTGGAACTTTCCAACAAAGACATCGTCAACTCGTTCCAGGTATAGGACACAGGTCAAAACTCCTCAAAGCAATTCATCAACTAAAAACTGGAGCCGTCTACGTATGTTTTAAATGTCGAGAGAGTTTTGGTAACTTAGATTTATCTGGGTCACCAGCCGTACAAGCTCTCATTGGGCAATTAATGCATAGGTTGTGATAAATTATTTAGTACCAACTCTGCGAACACAGCTTATACTCTGAATTATTTAGTCAATTACTTAAGTATTTGTTATTCAATTAATCTATTTGTTAATTAATAAATGGGATAAATATCTTAAAATGCGAATCGATAAATCGGGTTAAGCTTTCATTTACTGCATTTTAATATTTACTACTACCGCAATTAAATTGACCCCTTCCAGGGGAAATTAAACTAACTGAAGCTCAGTAAACGTAACCCTGCTCAGCATTGTTACCGCCGAAATGCGTTTACCCAGGTGTGCGTAAACTGCTTGTGGCTCCGAGTAAACTGCGTTACCCTTCTGCCTTCGCGTGCTCTGCAACCCTGTCTGGCGTAAGAGCACTTTTAATCCCACACGGGATGAGATTTTACTCGCACTGGCGTTAAAACTTTTAACAGTGTGCAATTTTAAAGTATCTAGTTGTCAATTTTGCGTACATACTTACTCAGACAAAACAAAAATAAGTAATGCACGAAGAACTAATTTATTTTCCATAAAATATCTTTATGTTCATTCTGCTAAACTTTTAAAATCGATTAAATCGATGCAAATAACACTTATCCAGAAATGTCGTTCCTTCAATTGAAACACTTAACTTCAAAGTTGATTCGTTTCTACATAAACCGAATTTCAAACTGTAGGACACCACTCAAAATATTTGATAGTTACAACTAACCTGTCACCATAAAGTGACGCACTTAGAAATTATCAGCGATAGTAGAGGTTTCTCAGCGTATGCTGTTACATTTTTTTGTTAAACTAAATAGCATGAATCGATGACAAGTTTATTTAGATGCAAATAAATACAAACCAAAACATTGTCAGATACATCGCACTTTCTGCAAATGTCATATTAAGTAAATTTGTTATCTAGTTTGGCCAAAATTGGAGAAAATATGCTGGCTGACCTCCTACATATGTCAGTACATACGTATACCTCACCAGAGTATAAATCCAGATCGAACCGAGATAGGGCTGAGTTCGACCTGAATGCCATAAGACTTTTCAGCATTGAAAACAGCATAAAGATAGCTGGAGGGGACAAACACATAGACCATGACGTTTTTTTATTTAAAATAAAATTCTACCAAATTCTAAAAAAGTTGTAATGCAATTGTAAATTGTGATGAGCATAATTACTAATTACGGAGATAATTGGTTTAGATAGTGCTGGTATTACAGTCACTCAAAACGGCTTAATCAGTTCAAATTTACAACTGTGAAATTACTTTGAAGTTGACAAATTTTGTAAAGTGAAAAACAATTTCTACTGACTTTAATTAGCGAAATAATTACTTAAAGATAGTGCTGGTATTACAGTAACTCAAAGCAACTTAAACGATTCAAAATTGAAATTGCGCACTCACTTTGACGTCAACACACTTTGTAAGGTATTGAACAGGATTTTTTCGCACCAATTACAGAAATAATTGGTTAAATATAGTGCTGGTATTACAGTCACAAACTTTTTACTTTGAATACAGTTTTGTACCAAAAATGTGTGTGCGCTCCCTTCCATTCATTTTTAAATCTTAAAGGTTATCCGGCAACCTCAGATATCGAAATAGGAAAAGTTCGACCTGGATTTATACTCTGTACCTCATTAGTCACTACATTATACATCTTGTGACATGAATTTAATGGCAAAGTTCACGTATTATCAATGGTTGTCAATTATATAATACCTCCACTCCCATTATAAAATACCATACCACCAATTATTTTACCTGTGTATCCAAGTTTTTTTCTCTTCAAGTCAACCTTCTACTATTTAAGTTCAAATATTGCGCATGTATCTACTGAAATGATATTAAACCTAAAATTTACCATTTTTATACTTCACTTCGGAAGTAGTTGCACCATCTCAAATTGTAAAGTGCTCGGACTCACATCTTTTTACAATACGTTTTCCTCCTGCCTCTCAATGTTCGGAAGTCCCACTTCCAACAGTTTATTTTCCTTGGATGATATCAACCTCTGGAGTGCCGCCCAAGTCGTAAAACCCACCCTCATTTTTACAAAAGTAGATAATTTCTCGCTATTGAAAATTATCCCATATTTTTACTCCGACGTGAAGCATTCCTTAACGTCCAAATCGTCTTGCTACGTGCAGTACATTGTGGGAAATCATGGCACAACGGGAAAATCCGTACCTGTGGATAAAGAGGGGCTCTACGCATATCAACAATTTTTGCAAGATGTTCTAGCAATACTTCCCATCTCATTTAAATTCAGAGTAATTCCACTTCTTAGAGAAGAGTATAGTTCGTGGTTATCAAAAGCAAAAAATGGCGGACGTGAAAGGATTATTGACTTCTGGGCAGATTTTAGCAAGACGTTCCTAATCCCACAAAGAACTATGGAAGAAGACACACCCAAATGCAAGAAGCTTGTCATGATATGCTACACGTGTACGCGTCAATATCACCCAGTAGCATTATTAACGGAAGAAGTTAATCAACCTAAATTACCGCGGGAATTAACTAAATTTATAGAGGCGGTTATCCACATAGAGGAATCTGAATACTTAATCTCATTATTTCATATTCGACACACCTTTCAAGTAATGAGAACGCATGACACCTGCAAGACCATCCCGGACAGGCTGCACCTTGTAAAAAAGTGTCTGCTTGACCTTCATGAAGCAGGGATTCTCGACACCTTTAATCCAGAACCACTGTCCAACCTATTCTTTTCCTGGGCACCAAACGTGTTAAAACTGATCCCATATGAACACATGGCTGCATTTTTTATTCTTCCAGATTTATTAGGATTACTCAACGCCACAGGAGACTTGCCTAGTTGGCAGGCCCGGATCTGGGTGTCCATTCCGGAACACGGAGAAATTCCAAAACCGTATGAAACCGACAGACGATACACCGTGCTTTCGGGACGGGTAGAGTACAATTTTTTAACGTGTGACGGCGTGCAGGAAATTTTGAGCTATAAAATGTATACGAATCCGTTCGATGAATATATTTGGGTAGCAGTGGGTATCAGCCTGGTATCCTTGGGGTGCTTGATAGGGGCACCATCTGGTGGGAAAACTGTGGAGAATGTTTTCAACTTTGGCGCTACCTTGCTAGAACAGTCGAGCAGTTTGAAGTCGGGTGGGCGTGAAGAACTTCTTGGAGTAAATATTATTACCAAAGGGGTCCTCGTGCTATGGGGTATTTCTTGCATTATTCTGGTCAACGGGTATAAAGCCACTTTTACGACTGAAATCGTCTCCCCGTTTCAGACATCGTCAAAGTATCAGAAATTCAACGATATTGCTAACTTCACGTACTTCTTCTCGATTCCAAAATGGATATATGAAATATATGAGAAGCCCCTCATGTCACCGAATCCATTGCCGGACCCGTTATATTTCCTTTCGGGATGGCTGAAGTCGCCAATATGCTGGCAAAAGGACTTTGCAATGGCCATGTCTAACCAAGAGAACGGCGTATGTGGCAAATGTGAAGCTTTGACGTTCTCCCATCCGGAACATTTCTGGGGCAATTTGTCACATCCGAAGTGCAAGGGAAGGGTTTATGTCGATACGCGGGTAAATGTTGAAAATACGTTGCGCTACACGGGCAAGGTGAGCCATTTTAAAAAGGGAAAGGAACCCGTGGCGGGATCTTATACGGGATGGTCCATGGGCCATTTTAGGAGTGGTCACATGTTCCTAGTGTATGGAAAACGGATACAGATTTTTATGAGTTCAGGGATTCACAGTTATTGGGCGAACCTTTACAGGATGTTTGTTAGGGATGAGTCATTTCAAGATTTTGATACTGATAAGAGAAGTGGGTTTGGGAAATATCCAGTTCAAAAGTTGGGACTAGATTCGAATGTTTTGTCCTCGTTCTATATTTTAATTGCTTTATGCGCACTGAGCTTAGGGGTTTGTATTGTTGAGCGATTAACACCAATGTACACCAAAGTTGAGTTTGTAAGTTTGAAAAAAACTTTGTTTTCTAAGATGAGGTTCTGGTTTTGATTAGCTAGAACCGAATTGGCCAGGAAATTTAGAAAATGTCTGTTTTTACTAACCCTTATCCTTACGGTTTGGATTTAATTGCTAACAATAAGTCTTTATGGTCGAAAGTCGAAAGGTATGTAACACCTTTATAACATGATGATTTCCAACTATTGACATGTACTAATTTGTTATTTTTTAAATAAGAAGAAGCTTGTGAGTAATGTTACCTGACGGTTGTTTACATAATCTCAGATCTTTATTCTTTACAGAATTACGCATTTATTTGTCGAGGCTGGCATCGTAACAGGAAAACTAAGTATTTCTCAGTATTGATCCATTCTATTGATATTGCTAATGATTGGACAAACAATCGTGTGTAATCTGGATGGAAAATTATTGAAATGCAGTTACATATGTACATTATAGATAATTTGTCCTGTCAGCTTCCTTCATGAGCGGTGTTTTCCGTTTTTTGCTCATGAGCATATGTATAAATATGGAAATTTACTGTTACAAAATTTATTTAGGAAACCATTTCTTACTAATTTGCTTAGAAGACACAACCTAAGGCTGGGCTGCTTTATACAAATATATATGTAAAATTGATAGTTTGTCGGGAGATATGTACATACTTAAGTACATACATACATACAATTGCAATATACTACGGAAATTATTTACATAACCACCAGGCTTTGTTAACATAAGTAAAATTATTTATGTTATACGCAACCTGCTTTAAAGAGATATGTAAAAATAAAATAAAACAATCTAAATTTCACGCCTGAATAATTTATGCATCATATTAGACGGACGAATGAATGTAAATATTATCGTGTGAATATGTATTTGAAATGTGCGTCATGAATTTATAGCCCACTGATTTCATGTACGAATTAATTGCTTTCCTTTCCTGGAAATTGAGAGGAACTTCAATGGATATAACCTGGAAATCAATATGTAGATGAATAGGGCAGAAAATATGTAATGCTCATAAATATGTGTACACTCTTAAAAATCCGGTATTAAAATCATTCCAAGCGGCATTCATACGTGAAACTACCAAATTGTTATTGGCATTGATAAGTAGATAGTAAGTAGTAATTCGGTGTATAGTATGTAAATATGCTAGGCATTAAATTTCTACCATATCGACAACAAATTTTTGAGAATCTTTGTATAATTTTAGAACCAACAGGTAGCAACTTTAATACCGAGAAATCAATTTCCCCGCGTGATTATACCAGATTTCTAACAGTTCAGTGCAAATATTTACCTTTATTCGAACGCGATTCCAAGGAATTGTTTTTAATACGGGCAGCTCCGCCCCCTCGATATCCAAACTGAAGTAGTCTACCGAAGTGATATTTATAGCTTTTAGGAGTGAAAATACTGGATAGCATTCTGCAGTGAAGGAGGCATTTTCCACAAACCCCAATCGTGTCATGAGATCGTCATTGTTTGGACGAAACATGTCCACCTGAAGTGAATGAATATTATAGCGGAATTCGATTTGTTAAGAAAATATAAGTGTACATGTATTTACACACAAAAAAACTGGATGCCAAATCGTCACCCGCGGATTCACTGTAATAAATTTTGTACTCTACATCCACGTAGGATTGAACATTTACTGAAATTGAGAATTCCGAGAAACTACGCCACTGTTAGTCTTAAATTCAATGGAGAGTCAGCAATAGATCTCTGGTCTGAGCTGCTGGGTGTTCTACCCAATCCATCAAAGTACATACATAGTCTCAAATTCCCTCAAATCATGTTGACGGTATCAAATCTCTCAAATCACTTTGAGACTGGGAGTAGCGTAGTTTCTCAGAATTCTCAATTTCTATAAAAGTTCAATCCTGCGTGGATTTAGAGTAGTTACTTTTATGGGCCACGTGACACCGGAGAGACAGACCGGAGCAATCCAGACATTTCGACGTCGGGTTCGAAGTTTGCTCAGAGGAAGTGGATCTGGCTCAACGAGGAGCCCTGTCCAGCCGTGGAGCAACTCCAACGCCAACGTGTTCGAGTATAGTTCTCCATCGTTTCCGCCACATTCGATGAAAAATCCGTCCTCCTACACGTTAACTAATTATCAACCTATCTTTCATTTTCAATAAAGCGTAAAGTCGCATAAATATATATTACACTTAAAAATAATGTCGACTTTATAAACAGTAAATCCACTTTTGTATTAACGTCCCTATCGATGACGGAGTTGTCTCAAAAATTCATGGAGTAAATTAAACTGCGCGAAATTTGCACCCCCCTTTGGACTTTGACTTACATTAGCCGAATGAGCCGAATTATTTTATTATTTAGCTCCAGTTTTTTTTATTTTGTCGTTCAAATTATTCAATTTCGTATGATTTCTACGCCAAACTAAAAGAGAATGGTGTTAAATAATAAAATCGTTCGGATCATTCGGCTAATGTAATCGCGAAGCCTTCACTCCACACACCCCAGCCCTCCCATACTTTTACATGCATAGATACACAGTCATGTTCATAGATTTCAAACTCATTTTCCGAAACTTTGAAATCGAATTTTGAAATTCTTTCTACGGCTATTGTAGATAATTAGCTAATTAAGATGATGGTTTTGAAATTTTTCCATTTCCATTGGCCAATTTTGCTGTGGTACAAATTGAATATAACAGGTGGTCTTATGCTTTTTACATATTTCTTGTACCTCAGCTTTTGAAAACCACCGAAATATTGAATCTCTTATTCTAGTACGACCACAACGGAATTATCTAAAATAGCGGTAGAAAGAATTTCAAAATTCCTTCTGGTAGCTGAGAAATAATTGAAAATGTAGGGTTATGACGTCATTGTTATGACGTTGGTACTAGTTGGTAGTGACGACACGAGTCTCACGTTAAGTAAAGTTTACGACATCCAGAGTAAACTTTAGTGTGTATCAAGTTAATATTACTCTGGATTTAGTATAGTTTGCTTAATATAGAATTGAAAGTGCATTTACGCTTCTAAAGGGTATCATTATTTTTAAGAATGCACCTTTTCACCAAGTAATTTGAAGACATATCTGTAAATTTCTTCTTGCTGGGATGGTTCCTTGTGAGGATTTTTCAAACTCAAGAGTACAGGTTCCTTACGAGTGGGTGGCGGAATTAACACTTTTTGGCGCATGTAATTGATCAAGCGATCGTCATCCTGTTGTAGTTTGGTGTTTCCAACAAATTCCTTAAACTCTGATGACCTGTTTTTATTTAGTCGTAATGAGAAGACTTATTATTCTTAATAAATATCGTTAGTTTTGCTGGTGTACGTGCACTCTACCGGCACGGTAACAACTAGCATTACAGTTTAGTAATGTTGTCGTAATGAAAAATTGATCACTCAGAAGCAATCTAATACTAACCGGGTGGGAAGTTATTACCAAATCAATATCAGTACGGAGTATGAATATATGGGACGCTCCCAAATTTTTAGAATATATTCTTACTCAATATTGGTTAGGAAAGGTGTTGATGCTTCAGCTAGTGAACCCAAATCGCTGTTGTTCATTTCGTCCTCGAAAATGGAATAAATCGCCAAAACACAAGTAAACACATAAATAAGCATGATTCCTATAATTAATCTTTCTGATTTTATTATCTTTCTCAAATTCTGCCTGTGTTTCATGATTGTAACTATGTCTGTTAGTTAAAAGTGGATCGATATTACAGGACTAAAATAAATTTATTTAGTTAAAATGTTAAATCACTTAACGGTATTTACATACACGTATGTTTACTGTACGTACATACGATTTAAATGTGTTTACAATGTCATTTGTTAGCAATGCATATTAAAATGCTTACCTATGTTTTAAACTTCCTGGTTCCCAAAATTGAAATGTTGGAAACCAGGAGCTCAGAGCTACAGTGGCGGCGGAAGCGGGTGGACAGGAGGACATTGTTCCTCAAGAAAATCACTAAAAATTATATCTTTCCCTACGTACGATCTTGAATTTTAATAAACACTGCATTCTTCTATGTGCATATCTTACAATTCTAACTTTTCCATATGTCCCCGCCTTCCGACGCCACTGGCAACAATTGCTTGACAAATTTCTGCACCCTGCAATGTTGCATGTCAGTGCTATGTAAATCGCTCAACGATACACAGGACAAAGCACAGGCCGCAAAAAATGATGAAAATATAGAAAGCAGATAAAACATTGAGTCCAGTCCCAAACTTAGGCCTGAATATTTCGCAAACTCATTTGGCTTTGCATGGTCATAATCTTGAAATGATTCATCCTTAAAAAACATCCTGTAAAAGTTCCGGGGGAAACATCATTTCATTTGACTTCCTTAACACCCATGAAAAATGTATGTAGTATTCATCTACTTTGTGTGTGTGTGTGTGTGTACAGAGGGTCGCTCCTCCTGCTTACCATTAGCATCGCAGCATGCCTACGTTTGTACATAGATACATACATAGAGGAAGAAAAATATCGCGTGTATTCCAATTTTGTTAATGAATTTTGCAATCTAAATACTGGACAGGTTTTAAGTGTACATTGAAATTGATAACGTTACTGAATAATTTATACTATAGCTATCAGGTCCGATATGCGAACACACGGAGTCCGTCGAAGCCATCTGGGGACATTAACATGGTAGAATAGGAGAGGGAGGACAAATAACGCAACATAAGATTGGCAGATGATGGGACATCGAATAACCGTGGGAACATTTACTGGTATGAATAAACTCGGGCAAAAGCTCCTGGGAAAGGGGAAAAGGGAAAGGCTATAGCCTGTGGCAAAGGGTCAAGGCAAAGGGAAATGCCCTGCGTGGTATGAATAACCTTTTGCCTTAGCCTTACCCTTTTCCCTTACCCTTAGGGAAAATTGCATTTGCCTTTATTGTATTCGTTCTGGTGCAAATTCCTAGTAATAATGCTTGTAAGCTTAAATCTGAATAGACGGGAATTGTTATCTTTCAAAATTTCAAAGACTGGTAAAAAATTTTAAATTTCGCGACAATTGGATTTTTAGCAAGTCATTCTGGAGATATGTTTCCGAATTTTTTAACTCACGCTAAAATTCGAAAACTTAGAACATTTTGAAAACCCAGGGTTTCGGCTGGAAAACAATTTAAAATTCGCGCCTCGCGCTCAAATTAGCGCATTATAAAAATTGCAAAAATACGGATATGCTTATTTTTTGTAGTTAACTTAAATTGGTCCCATATAAATCTGAGTTTTACATGTGAAAAACCTGCATTGTAAGTGGTGAACAAGTTGTCATATTTGCTGATCTGATTAGTAAATTCTACACTTTTAAAAATCTGGTAGAGTCACATATATACTCCGTACCGGTATTGATTTGCTAATAACTTCCTATCGGATTGGTACCAGTACCCATAGAGCATATATGTATTCTATTCAGTAATGATTTAATACCAGTTGGTTTGGCTTTGGTTTTGGCTAGAGTTTGAATGTAAATTAAAAAGTTGATATTTACAATTTGTCATAAAATCCTAAATTTTGAGTGTACGCACGCATGCGTACGTATGTAACACAGGTAAATACATACATACATATTTACATATGTATGTTGGTATGAACCGTGGAACCGACTTATAGTAATTTGTTACCGCTGTGGTAGTATTTAGATTGCTACCCGGCTGCATTTATTACTAGCGTGGTAAGAAATTTAGTACCACTCGGTAACAAATTTAATACCACTCGGTAACAAATTTACTATCACTGGTAACAAATTTACTATCACTGGTAACAAATTTACTATCACTGGTAACAAATTTACTATCACTGGTAACAAATTTACTATCACTGGTAACAAATTTACTATCACTGGTAACAAATTTACTATCACTGGTAACAAATTTACTATCACTGGTAACAAATTTACTATCACTGGTAACAAATTTACTATCACTGGTAACAAATTTACTATCACTGGTAACAAATTTTCTACCACTCGGTAATAAATTTACAACCACTCGGTAAGAAATTTACTACCACTCGGTAAGAAATATTCTACCACTCGGTAACAAATATAATACCACTCGGTAACAAATTTACTATCACTCGGTAATAAATTTACTATCACTAGGTAACAAAACTACATACCACTCGGTAACAAATTAATTACCACCATGGCGGTAGTCACACATATATAGCCATCGCCTGGTAATGCCAATTCGACCGGATTATTACCGGAATGAGCTTTTCTCTTGGTATCGGGGATGGGTTTGACCTGATCGGCGTTTTAGAGGCAATTGCCGTATTAGAAAAGGCTTTTGCCTAACTTTATTCATATAAATTTCCCCCGTGACGGGGGAAAAGGTCGACGACTGGGTAAAAGCTTTTGCCTTTTTCCCTGACCTAGGCAAAAGGAAAGACCCCAAGTTTTATTCATATGAAATCGGGGATTTCCCTAGGGAAAAGGCTTTTGCCTAAGTTTATTCATATCACTCATTGTCCCTCAATCCCCACACTTCTGCGGCCACTGTACACATACCGGACATATTTTATTGGGATAAAATCTCCAATGTCAAATATTCCGTACTTTCATCACGCAAAACTACACATAAACTTTTAGGTTCTAAAGCCCTCACTTTTTTCATGCTCTAATCTGTCATTTGTTGAACTGGTTAAACGTTAATACTAAATATTTTCCCAGAAATCAAAATGAAACTAGAAATTTTCCAAATCCGCCTCTTTCTCATATTCCACCCCGCACAAATAATTTCCAGTGAAATTGTAAACTATCCCCTAAATTACATAGGTGTACCAAACAATACCAATCTTGGTGAGCCTTTGATCCACCTATTTTCCAAGCAAGTTTCCAATAGTAGTTTCGAGTAGTTTTTAACCACAATTTTTCCATTAAACAGTCTTACACACGTATCCCATGGGTTTCCAGGCACAACATAAATTTTGAAATCTGTTTCCTTCCCACTACCCCAGACAAGCAAAATTTTCTAGATTTCGACAACGAAGTAGCTCAGGCAGGATATATCCCATCGCTTCATCCCTTCATTCTGAATGCTGTTTTCGTACTAATGGTTCCAGGCGTCGATATGCCATTGGTCTCTTGTCTCGTCTGCACCGAATTTCCCACGTCAATTTATCTAATGCTGTTATCCACAAATATATTGACAATCGAACCATACGTTCACATTGAAAACATCCCGATTCGATACTACTATTCGAGACAATTTCAAAAGTTCGAACTAATGGAACAGCAAGATTTCAGTCTACGGGATTTGTACCAAGGTACATAAATACATAATACGTATTTATATAGGAGTCACATGTTACAAACACCATTAGAAATCTGATATAGTCAGGCATATATTGATTTCCCGGTATTAAAGTTGCTACCGCTTGGTATTAAAATTATACCTGTCCGTAAAAATTTGCTCTCGATACAGTAAAACTTTAATACCGAGCTATTACTATATGGTATTACACTTATCAATGCCACTTTGGTAGAGTCAAATATGAACACCGGTTACTCTTATGTATATTAAAACTATGGAGTGTATGCATCTTGGTTTTGGTCTTTTTATCAATAATCGCTTTATGTCGATCTGATTTGAACAGTTTTTAATAAATTCTCTCATAGTTTCCATCCTCTATGCTATACATAAAACCAATTAAAAAAATACGACTTTATCAGGTAATCGATTCCTTCCCACCGATGTAAACCATCGAGGACACATAGTCCGCATATTTCACCCGACTCCATGGAAATCTTTCATCTGTCATCCGATCCAGTTGGGCATCTTATCTTTTTACCGACGCGACGCTGCTTATCGTAAATTTGGCTTGTGTGACCGATTAGTCGAAGAGTTCATACTTCTTCAAGTTATCCTCAACGTTACTTGCCACATGAATTACTTTACCCCCCAAATCTCCTTACAATTCACTAATCCGGACGAAAATATCTTGCCTCTGATAAGTCGAATCGTTTGGTCAGGGGAAGCCGAACTCTTCGTGGTCTACTGTCGGACGCATGCGCGGTTCAGCGCTTCTTTAGAAAATTGGATGAAACCGTTTCAAGGGAACGCTTGGATTGGAATTGTTCTCGCATTTATGGCGTCATCAATAACTAGCAGGTATGTACATACATATGACTGCTCACATTCATTTGTTCAATTGTTATATACAGAATGGATAAATTATTCGTTCATAAATAATTCAATTAGTTCAGGAATAATGAGTGAAGCATTTTTTCAAGATTTTTGAAATTTTTAAATGCATACATATTTATTAGTTTCATATTCATGAAGTAAGAATGAATAATTTCCTTTATTATTCCTTTTCCGACCAGGGTATTCCGACCCCGGGTTTTACTGGGTTGGGGTTTTACTGGGTCGTAAATTAATGAAACCCAGCGGGTTTTACTATGTTAAAGAGGTTTTACTGGGGTTTTACTAAGTTTTATCTAAAATTCAAATAGATAAATCAATAGAATCAGTTTGCAGGTGCATATCTAGCTCGAATTAAGTACTCTGATCAATATTCTCTATTCATTTCGAATTTTTGTTTATGACCTAAAAATCACAATTTACAGCTTAACTTGGAGTTTGATCAAATTCGTATTTTTTTGTGTTCCTGGCATTTTGAATTGAAGTTCTTTAATAAATCTTGATAAAATTCATTAATTTAACAAATTGACGTAACATTGTAAGTTTTATGACTTCACCCCAAACATTGAGTAAAACCCAGTAAAACCCCAAAACCCAGTAAAACCCAGTAAAACCCCGGGGTAGTTGTTTTCAGAGTAAAACCCCGGGTTTTTCCGAACCCTGTTTCCGACCTATGCACACGCATCATAGTACATGGGAAATATTGAAAAATCCACCTAACAAGGCGAATTTGCGTTAAAATGTATTAAAAATGAATGATGAATATATATAAATACTTCTCTTCAAATTTTAATGAATGAATAACTTTTTCCAATTTTTAAAATGAATGAATGAATATCATAAGTGAAGAAATATTTTTTGAACAGGTATACAACCCGGCCTAATTATGGGAACATTTATCTCCACCAAATTATGCGACGAATTGGATCCTCCTTTAAATCCACTTTGGAATCATCCTACTTCTTATTCTCCCTCCTGACACGGGAACCTATCCGGAATTTTACCCAGAAACATGTCCCCTTCGTCTTTCTAGCTCTATTAATATCCACCTGCTACGAATGCATCATCACCGGCAGCTTAATCGCACTCGCCAAACCGTATCGGTACAAGGACGTTGCAAACTTTATAAATTCTTCCAAACACGTGGTCGGATTTACGAGAAATTTAGTCCTACCCGAGGATATAGATAAGCACCATCCCACGTTCGTCAACGTGCTAAAAAGTCATAGCGTTCCACCCAACCGAATTAACGATTCGTTTCACATCGTCACAACTTTCAGGTACATATTTGACGAAGATTTTCTGCAGTGGGGAAACTTATCTTGGGTGGGTTATCTCGACAAAAGAGTAACCCCTACCATCCCACTTCGTATGAAGAAGCTACAACATTACGCAGATATGATTTATGGCTCGAAAGGTGACAGTGAAAATTATATTTGTGACAAGTTTGCATTCGGAAGTAGAACAATTTCGTGGGCCATTTTCGGATTTGCGTTGGCCAGGAGGGCGACGCAGCTACACGTGAATTTGTTAGAGTTCGGAATAACACGGCATTTCGATGACGTTTTGTTAAATTTCGCTGAATTAGAACTGCCAAACCAAATAAGAGAAAGTAGAAAGGGTTCGGATGAGGAGGAAACGTTCATTAGTTTGAAACACTTGAAGCAGTTTATTGTGTTAAATGGCGTAGCGTTAGTCGTATGGGTGGGTGTGTTTATGGTGGAATGGAGGAAAACAGTGGTTATTTCTGCCAGCGTGGTTTTTACGAGGGTGAAAATGATCACTTGTCGAGCTGTACGATCTCGTGTTATGCCAAGCAAAACTGGGGTTTCCGACTTTGTAAAATCTGTTAAAAACAGGGTTTCGGTTTAAAGGGAAATCCGGTTTATCAGAAACAAGGAATAAAGTCCGATAAAATGGTTGATCAGGGTAAACATTATTATGAAAAAATGAGCTCATCTTTTACACTGAAAAATTGATTGTTCAAAAGATAAGCTTTTATGAGAGAATTTTAAATTCCAGAAATGCTCTATTTATTTTCCAATTTTGCATTACTTTTCTAGTCAGACTAAATTTAAATTAGTAATTAATTCTAGTTCAATTTGATAAGACGGAATTTCAAAAATTACAGCTTGCTAAATGAATGTATTAAAGTTACATTACTATTACACGCCACAAAATAATTTTGACTGTGAGAATAATAACAATTCTTCCACATATGGCTAATTCCATATCCATAATGCGTGTACGTATAACAGCATAATTTTGGTAATTAATACAATACTAATTCATAAAAGTTTAAAGGTACAAATTCTAAAGGTTTACAATTTTATCGTCGAATGTTTCCATTTTAATGAGATTCCAATTATTTTTTTCAATTAAAGCAAATAATTGCGTAAGTGTTTCAGCGATTGAAGCGGTGCTTCTTCTTCCAATGAGCGTTCAGATATTCCATCCTGGTGCATGTCCACCCGCAGCGGAAGCAACGGTGCCTAATCCTGGAATGGACGGTGTCCACGTGTCGCTTCATGGAAGCCTGCGTGGTGAACCTCATGTGACACTTGGCACAGGGGAACTTGACCATGTCGTGCACACCGAGTTTGTGAACGATCTGGTGATCTTGTCTAATGAAGGCTTTGCCGCAAGTAGAACATGGGAATTTTCTCGGACTCGTGGTGACCCTACATTTGTGTCCGTCGTCGTCATTTCCGGTGAACCGCTTCCTACAATTGTCGCAGCTGGAGGGACCTTCCGAACGCTGGGGAAATATGGAAAAGATGGTTAACAATTATTTAGGGGAAAAGTACCCTCTTAAAAATAATGTTGCCTTTTTAAAAAGTAAATGCAGTCTGAATTCTGTATTAATTAATCGAACTCTAATAAATCTAGAGTATCGATGACTTGGTAAAAAGTAAAGTTTACTCTGGATTTTGTATAGTTTACGTAATGTAAACAAAATTAGAGTATATTTACTTTTCGAAAGGGTATCATTATTTTTAAGAGTGTAACTTGATAAGTCAACTGTTTAGTTAATTGAGGCCTTTTTAACAAATCGTACATACCTTTAGAGCGATATATTTTAAGAGAAAATTCACCCCTCCCTTCTTCTCTGTGTTGCGTTTAGCAGAATTGTTCGAGTGTTTCCTCTGATAAGCACTCGATTGAGACGGTGCTTCTTCTTCCGAGTTTGATGGTAATTCTGTCTGCCGGTTCATGTTAGGGGATCGTCCCTGCTGCTGATCCAGATTGACGACGACTTCATTCGAAGAGTTCTCCAATGATCGGGAGACAACGACGGGAGAAGGAGGTCGAGTTTCCTGAAAAAAATGAGAACCAACCAAATAAAATGAATTAAACTATGAAAAATATCTACGATTCAAAGAGATTTAATATTCAGTTATATACCTTCACATATTTTTGTTCGGTTTGCATATCACGACGAAACTTCTCGAAAGGGTCAACTTTCGCCTAGAAAAATTAGAATACACATTGAACACAAATATAAAATTAAAAGTATGCAAAAATACTAAAGTCATATTTTTCAGTGAGGCATCTTCACTCACCTTGATCTTATCAGCCTCCACATCCTGTCGCTTATCGTCCTCGTTTTCGTTCCGGCTCGAATGAAATTCCTCCCCCGGTTCTGTCTTTATTCGTGCTTCACGGTTAGCAGTTGAGGTGACCGTGGTCCTATTTCTGAAGACGGAAAAATATTCTATCTCGAATCGGTCGTCTTTTGGGATTATCTTATGTTTGTCCATTTTGATCCAAGATGAGTGCACCACGGCACGAGAAGGAGGTGGAGATTCCTGAAAAAGAGATGCGAATCAACCATTAACCATTGAACTTATTGAACTATAGAAAATACGCTGCAATGCAAAGAAATTTAATAATTTTGATAACTTACTAACCTTGTCAAATTTTAGTTCGGTTTGTCTCAAACGAAATTTCTTAAAGGGGCCAGCTCTCGGCTAGAAAAATAGGACCCCAATCAATAAAAATTATGGGCGACAGTACTAAAATCATATTTTAAGGGCTAATCCTCACCTTGACCTCGTTACCCTTACGCTTATCACCGTCTCTTCCATTCCCGCACGATTGGAATTCCTCCCCTGGTTCGGTCTTTATTCGTGCTCCACCGGCGATCACGTTGATACTTGTGGTGGGCGTGGACCTTTTCCCGAAGACCGAAAAATCTCCGGCCCCGGATCGGTTGGCTTTTGACATTATATTTTTCTCAACTTGAAATGATATAAGAACAAAATTAATTTTTCGAAATGTGTGACGTGGAGATTTGCTGTTGTTGTTGTTGACAACGACGAGAAGTTGAATGGGCCGCCCGGCTCCATTTTCAATGGCAGGCACGGATTGAGATTGATTTCGTCATAACAAATGTACATATTTTTTTAAAGCGATATCGTCAAGCTGACCGACTCCCGGAAATATTTCCAAATGTGAGGAACGAATGAATGGATGGACAGATTACGAGAGGTGAAGAACAATTGATGAATTTTTATGAATGGAAATTAATATTCTTAAATTAGTAAATTAGAAATATGATTCTCTGACACCGAGTTGTACATATGTAATTGAAATCAATGTTTTTATTGGCTGTAATAATATTTATAATCCGTGATTATTTATATGTATGTGGTACACATTTGTTACTGTTTAAAATATAAATTGGCCCAAATTTGCATATATACAGGGGAATTATTTATGCCTGTCACCTTTTTTATCATTTCATATTTATCATTATGCATAAATCTAACTATATGCCCATTTTCGGCGAAATAGGCTTTCCATGTTGACTAGTGTCTCTCAAAAATGCGTCAAAATAAATAGAACATGCTTTTCACCCTTATCCATACCTGTTCACTTTCATTCATTTGAATGATTATTGTAGTGAATGAGGATAAATTTCCTGCCATTTGATTGATTTGAATGAAAATGAGTGAAGGATTCTTCTGCCATTTCAGATGAATGACTGTGAATGAAAAGATTTGCAACTTCTTCATTTTTCAGCCTATGCCTAATATGTACATGGTGCGAAGTGAGAAATGAAGTGAAATGAACTGAATTTGAACGAAAACGAATGAATGTGATGGAAAATCTTCAACGAGAAATTAGGATGACTGACTTTTGAATGAAAAATAAATTTTTGAACAGGTATGTATGTACATACATATGTCGTTATCCATGTTTTCCCTACATACTCTCAACTTTCAACCATTACAGCGCTCACCGTATTATGCAACATCCCCGAAAAATACTGCGTCCTTGCAGACCTATCACACCTAATTATCCTAACCCCCATAACTTCCCCATAAATGCAAAGTGGTTGCATCGAGCACAACTTGCGTCTCACATATTTCATCTCCTTACTTTTACTACTATTAAATGCACCCTTTCTCAAAATAGTTTTCGAATTCTCGTTAACCGGAACCATGTACGAGAACATCATCAAAATCGTGGCCGGGACAATTACTCCCATTGCGGGGAAAAGCATGTACATCGGCATGCGAATTTCGTTCCTTAATCGAATCCAAATATAATTGCATACCACGGACACTATGAAACCGGACGTCAACCCGAACCACGTGAACGGCCCGGCCGTCAACGATATCATCATGACACAAATCCGCAAGTTGTTATAATCTCGCAAATATTGGTCAACCCTTTGGCGGAAATTACTTGCCACCCGAAACACGGTTTTGTCCAGATGGTCGACACAAGTTAGGACGAGGTGACCCTGTATGACGTACATTAGTGTGACAAAGCACAAAGTGCGACTGCATTGGGCCAAGGGAATGATAAATAAGGGTCGAACAAGGTAATAATGTAGTTGGAACAGGACTCGATAATGGGGCAAGATGTGTTTCATGATTAGAATTATGGGATCCAGTTCTACATCAAAGGCAATGTTGAAGGCGACCGCAGGCCAGGGGCTAATCGCAAAAGCGAAGAATAAACAATTCAGGTATATTCCTAAAAGATCCAACTTTCTACAGTTTGGTCATTTGAATTAGAGACTCTTTTGGTAAATTTTCAAATTTTCTGGTAACTAAGAAAAATATTTAAAAAATTTAAAAAGAGCTGTTCACAAATTGTATGCCAATTAAAAAATGCAATTGCTATCAAATAATTCATTGCATAAGTCTACGAACGGCTCTTCGCGAATTTTAATTTTAATTTGTTGCTATCCTGGGAAAAATTGCAAAATGCAAAAAGAGTCTCTAATTTAAATGACCAAACTGTAGCTGCCCTTGGCTTGGTACCTGAAGAAAAAACAATTATTAACATGGTTACCGGAAATTGAGGTCCTCCGGGTATGCGCTCCGATTTGGGCCAAATTAGTGGCAAAAGTCAATATGAAATTTTCAAACGGCCAGAGATATTTGCATCCATATTTAGAGGAGAACGTGTTTCATAAATCTCACAAATGTTACCCTTCACAAATTTACTGCGCGTTTTCTCCTCTCCGAATGGATGTACATATCTCTGACAAATCTGAATATTCTCAGGTAGTATGCTTCGCATATTTCATACTTATCAAATTTCTTATTGATTCATGCCAATTTGGTCAGAATTGGAGTGCATTTGGTGGGAGACGGTCTCCTGGAGACCTCCATTGTGAGTGCATAAATTATGTCACGACTGAGGGAGGTTGTAGTTATGCGCATACGTCGGTTATGAATGAAAAATGACTTTTTCCATTTATTGACCTACAGTCGCCAAACTTTCTGAGAATGTTTATGGTCACTAGTAGGTCACGCAGGTCAAAGCATATTTTCTCATATTGGTCATATTTTCGGGGTTTGGGACATATTCATATTTCCGATCATATTTCGGGTTTTTTTCGTTCATTTTATCATTTTTGGCCAAATTCTAAGATTTGGCAACCAAATCGACAAAAAACTGACAAAAAATTCAGTTTTCTCACAATGATTCATTGTGAGAAACTTTCAGAATTTTACGTTCACTTTCGCCTAAGGTGATTTAATTCATTGGAAATGCATTAAATCGCCAAAGAACTTGTTTATTTGATAAAAATTGAGCATTACAAGAAAATATAGCAAAAAATTAAGCCACAAATTTAAAAAATAAAGTCATTTGTATGGTCATATTTTTGGGATGTTTACGGTAATTTTTCATTCATATTTTGAGGTTTTATCGGTCATTCATATCCGATGTCTGGTTATGCGTGACAACCCCATTTTCGCCGCATGTTAAAAGTGGGCGTAACGCGCGACAGTGGGGTTAGAAGGGTCTAAAAAGTCCTCATTTGTGTGTGCATAATTTATGGACGTTCCCTACCTGGCTACTCAACCTATTTTTTACATTGAGCTGTCTTATAGTTTCTAATTATCCCAGATACTACAACAAATGTACATACATAAATTTGAGCTTGTGAGCTTACGTGATTGAACCAGATTTTCCAGTGAGATTAAATAGTTGTGGTAAAGTTCCATCTCGCCAGAATAATTTGTAAACAATAATTCCGCTACAATAGTTAGCGTTGAGAATAACAAAGCCAATACAGTTACGAGCACTTCGACAAATGCCAGCTTTCCAAGGCCAAATGAATTTCCCACCAATAATATTAAACATGCGATCGGTGCAAATCCCATGGCGGTCATGGAGACACCATAGAAAATCAGCTTTGATAACTTTGCATTCACTTTAAACTTTTTGTTCGGCACATCCCAGTCGAACGGTGTGACCAGAAGTGGCCATAGTATTTGGAACAGAGGTTAAGCGACGACCACATTAGCGGGGTGACAATCATTTCTTCAAATTTGTATGTATAATTGCCAAGTTTGAAGTTTCGAACAAAAGTGTTACAAATCCTCCGGAAAATACTGTATGCTCGAAGAAGTCCACGCTTAACTGATAGAATGCTTACCTTGTACATGGCTACCATTTGACTGATTTACGCTTTGGTGTAATATTTGCTCTAAATTTTGCATGGTATCGAAAAATCTATAAGATTATTGTTATATTGCGTATTTGGTTCGTATGTATACATATTTAATTTGCTGAGACAATTTTGCTCCGGTTACAATTTGAGTTAGTTGTTTTTGAAGGGAAAATTAGGAATTAAAGTTTAACATTTACTTGGTTTGCGTAAAAAAAATCAATATTTATTAGATTAGTTTATTGATAGCTTAGAAATAAGGAGCCAAGCTATAAATTGATGACGCATGTATGGACGACAAATATGTAAATGTAAAGATGGCACAGAACAATATAATTTTTTTTCGAGATCAAAATAGTATTAGCAAATAAATATATTTCTTAAACAAGTTGTGAAATTGAGGATACGACTATACATAAGAAATTAATGGTGTCTAAAAATGTAACGCTTTTATCACAGTTACATATGTACATATACATACGTAAATAATAATCTATAGTTGATACAGCTTTAGATTGTTTTAAACTTTATTTTTAATGCGTGTGCTTGATTCACCGTTGTACTTTTGTACCGTTGTAAGGTTTTTATTTATTTAATTTTATTTTGTTCACCAATTTATTATTAGTCATGCATACAAAGTACGGACCACAGAAAGTATGTAACTTGGGTTGAATGCTGAATTTCATGAAGTTGACTTTACGGTAACTAGTTCCTTGTAACACTGTTTACATACATACATAATTGTTTAAAAGTTTTAAGCTTCATGTGTGTAAATATTCGCATGTATGTTAACGAAGCAAACAAAATGTTCGATATAAAAATATAGGAGCGTTGTATTACATATATTGTATTACCTATCTATAAAGATCGTGCAGATAAATTTCTTCTTACGTATTCTTCTTAAGTACTCCTACAACTTCGACCAAAATTAGGAAAACTTGCTCATTTTGCCTCAAGTTACAAGCCAAACTTACTAGAATGTGAAGGCATATGCCCAATAAGGATATATGTACATATGTAATAATATTTGATCTACATATATACATAGTTATGTAACTGGTCTTTAAAAAGCTGCTATTGCGAAATTGGATATGAGAAATTTAAAATTTCAACAATTTATATACATGATCAATGTGCTGCATTTTTACTGTCCAATTTGTAAACAGTTTTTGATCGACGGACTTTCACTTTACGTTTTTTTGCATTAATTTTAGCCATCTTCCTCCTTGCAATGCAGCGTTTTCCCAATTTCCATGCACCCTTCAGACACGTTGGAATGACCTCTAAGAGCCATACTGCGATACAAAGGCCCACCCCAACCCCACCAATTACAAATACCGTCGCAATATTGGAATCCAACAATGAGACGGAGACGGGTTGTTTAGATTGCAATTGTAGAGTTCCATTATTTGC